GATGTCGAATAGGGGGAGCCGTGGGAAAACGATAAAAAATAATATCGTAAAAAAATTCGAAACGTTTTAAACTGTGACGAAGAGGAAGAGAAATATAATTCGCGTGTCTTCGTAACATCAGTCACTTTACAACACGGATATGCTGTACTTTAGTGCTAGCACGGAATAATGCAAGAAATAGAAAGATAAAGAGAAAGAAATAGAAATGTAATGACCCTGAACTGTGACTTTAAGTACGAGTTTGATCCACTAAATCACTGACTAGCCGTAATTTTTCACACTTTCATCTTCAAAGAAATTATTCTTTGTAATTTTTTTCCTTTTTCATTTTCTAATTTTCTATTTCAAAGTACATTAATATTACCTTATATTACGTGACACCTTTTATATCGACATTATTTTTTATACGCAATCGCAAAATTCATCGGACAATTTAATATACTGAAAAAATAATACAAAGTAAAATAATAAAAAGAAAAATATATGTGTGTATAGTTTAATATTAAATTATCAATACCGATGATCAATAAAATTTATTTTGATATTTTATTATACGCAATCACAAAATTTATTGCATAATTTAATATACTGAAAAAATAATATAAAGTGAAATAAAAAATAAAAATAAAAAAATATTTGTACAGTTTAATATTAAATTATCAATGTCTACAACCAATAAAATTTATTTTGATATTTTATTATACGCAATCACAAAATTTATTGCATAAATTAATACTGAAAAATGTTAATAGCAGCAATGAAAAATAATACAAAGTAATGTAATAAAAATTTTTAAAAATGTATCGTTTCATATGAAAATATCAACATCAATAACCAACGAAATTTATTTTGATTTTTCTGAATCATTATCAATATCATTAATTTTTTGTTGTTGTTGAAAAGATAAAAGCAAAACTGTAATAAGTATTTAAGTCGTAATTAAATTATACGACCGAAAGAAATTTGGAAGAACCTTAATTAACGTAAACAATTCTCATCGTAAAATCTTTCAGTTTCTATAGATAAACATTTGGAAATCGTAACAAGTAATAGTCATTTTTATTTATCGTTCGATACCTTTCCAAAGCTAAAGCAACAAGTAGCACCAGGATCGTGTACAAATTCCAACAAACAAGTGTAAGCTATCGGTTGCGTGATAGATCACTGTGATATGACAAACATGATAAATCTATTATTAACAATGCACGCAAGATCTTATTTATTGATTACATTAAAGTTAAAGTAACAATTTAACATACTAAAAATGTATCGTGATTGATAACCGAATAATAATAAAAAAAAACAAGCAAAAAGGTTTAAAAAAAAATTCTAAAAGAAAAGAAAAAACTTTGTTTAAATGTTATATTTCCGTAAATGGATAGATAAGATAGGTAGCTATCTTTCAAAAAAAAAAAAATGTAAAAATGTAAAATGTAAAGGGGAACGAGTTTTCAGACTAATTTGACGAAGTTTTATAGGTAAGAAAATTGGCTGTGCAGGTGGCATTTAACAGTCTTCTTCTCTTTCTCTTACCTCTCATTTTCGACACCGCAAACCACTAGCTTTGCCAACGCTAACGTCCAATCAAACTCATCTACCCTTTAACCATCTAAAAGTGGAGGACACTAACTTGGACCACGAAGAGTAAAACGAAATGCAGACCCTCTTACATTAGACTTTTATGGTTGTAATAAACGAAGAAGCAGGCCAACTATCTATATGACTTATCATCCATTGCTTTTTGAATTGTATATTCTCTTTTTCTCATTTGACACCTTTTATATACGAGGTCACTGATATCTCGTATAACTACTATCAAATAGTTACGTTCAATTTTTACTAGATAACAAATAGAATTTTTTTTTTATTTCCTATAAATATTCCAGATATTATTTTTTTCTAAAAATAAAAAAACAAGAAAGAAATTTGAAAAGAATAAATTTAATTATTTCAAAATTATATATTTTTAATTAGTAGATAATAAAAAATTTATATTGGATTGTATTTATATTTTGCGAAAGGAGAAATAAATAATTATTTCTATATATAAATAAATTTTTTCTTTATTTCTCTATAAATAATTTTTTAATTATAATTCATTCTGTATGAATAAATTTTTGATTTATATATTGAACAATAATGAAAAATTATTAAAATTGTAATTGTGTTATAATTGTCTCGTTTTATTCCAAATAAAAAGAGATAATAAAATATAAAATTAAATTATTAATTATGCAAGATTTTTCGAACTTTTGTAAAATATTTTTATTTATATATAATTGTTGTATTAACGAAAAAAAATTCGTTAATAGTAAGATAAAAAATAAAAATGTAAGAAAAAAAGAATTCCCCAAAATACACGACGAATAAAAATAAATGTTTTATTCATAAATCATAAGAAAAAAAAAAATATTAGGTTTATAACATACGCGCCATTTCTTAAATTTGCAAAAATTCTACAGTACCAGACGAATACATATATATATATAAATATATATATATGTTACAACCCAGAATATCCAAAAAAAAAAAAAAGAAAAATCTTTAGTCATAATTTAGCATATGAATTATTATTACAGAGTATACGTCTACTGATAAAACTATAAAAAATTGATGTACCTACTTTTATCTGATTTAAATTTTTAAAAGATAACCTCTTCCCCCTTTCAAAATTATGCATTACCCACGATTGAACGCGTTACTATACCAATATTATATTCATAATACCCAAAAGTTACAAAATATTACTACAAAGTAACACTCATATCTCAACTCAAAAAAATACAAAATAAAAAAAACACATATTTCTACATTCACTATAAATACAACCAAAATTTTTAAACATATTTATAAAGTATATTTTGAGTTTGAAATAGAGTAGAAAATGTTATATGTATCAATATTTGATAGTCTTCTTTTTAGATGTAGTCTAGTTGAAATGGAAAAAGCGTTTGTTTACGTGACATCGTATAAACAAATACAAACTCAAATCCTAACCACACGAAAGTAGAAACAGTTCTACGTCTAAGTCTACCCAACATTTTTCTCTCTTTTTTCCTTTACTTTCTCTCTCTCTTTCTCCCTTTTCTTTTTGCTTTTTCTTTTTTTTTTTCCTACTCTACTTCAACCCCTTTTCTTCTTTTTTATTCTCATATCCCTAAATTCACAAAAAGCAGCGAAGTAAAGAGACCCTTCGCAGTACCATGCCAGCTATTGTTTTCTGTGACAAAGAACGAGGCCCTATAAGACCTTACCATTTTACCCTTTTCTACCACAAACCTCTAGCACCCATCCACTTCGACTTTCTAACATTAAAAAAAAAGGAGGAAAAAAAATAAAACAAGAATCTAAAGATGAAATCGTGCCACGTGCAGACGAATGCAAAAGTTCAAATGAAAAAAAAATGAATGAATCGTAAATTTTTTATCTTTCATTGATGTCGTCATGATTTTAATGTAACCCCAAATTTTAATGCAATTTAAATAGGATTTTTTTTACCATGAAAATAAACAGTTCCATAAAACATTATAATGACATTGACCATTGTTTGATCATTAATTAACATATATTTGATTTTTCACTTTATTAATTTTTAATGTTTAATGTCATTTTATTTATTTTTTGTTTGATAAATTATAAATGGTGCTGCTCGTAACAAATTTCAACAATATAATTGTAACTTAATATATTTTGAATTATTAATAAATTATTATAATCATCACAATTTTTATTAAATCAAAATTATTGATTGTTAAATTATATTTCCTTAATTTCTTATATGTAAATATAAATATAAGTGGAAAGGTTTTCGAGCTTGAACAAAACAGAAACTTATTATCATTCTTTTTTTTTTAAAGTAAACGTTAATGGAAAAAAAAGAATTGTTTCTGTGTACGGTTTAAAAGAAACCTTTCAATCCTCACACACGTGTACAAAATATTACTTCAGAAATTTCCTTACAAAATTGTAACCCCTCCCCCACCCCAAAAAAAAAGACTTTTCAATACAATATCGATAATCTAGGATTGTTTTGCTACCAATGTTTCAGACAACGGAAAAGAAAATCCTGTGGAAATGTATCAGTGTGAACTGCGATGTTGTTTTGAAGCAATTCAATATTATATCTGCTTCAAACTTCAGCTAAAGAAAAAAAAGAAAATAACAAAAAAAATATTCTTTTCTTCCTTTTCTGTTTCTTAGACATCGTATTACACACACACACATACTCACACGTATACACACATACAATGAGAAAGTCTTAGACAAACGTTTTTTTTTCGTTTTAACAAATTTTTCTTTCCTCGTTGCTTCGAATTCCAGGTCAGTGGGCCGCTACGAAAATTCACCTTCTCGTTTGAAGTTGGATATATGTATACAGAAAAACTATAGACGGACGAATTGATTAAATTTCACAAAAAGTTTTCTTTTTTTGACCGGTACACGTACAAACAAGAGATGAGAACGAATGTACGAACAAGCAGATCATCTTTTGGCAAGGAAATACGTCCATCGAATTTTACTCTAGCTAGTTTTATATTAATTTTACTAAAAAAAAAAAAAAAGGAACGTACAATGACGTTAATTGTTACACGTAGTTGAACAAATTGGTACACCGTAGATATATTTTTCTATCTTCATATGTCTCCATAGAAAATTTTACGAATATTAAAATTTGTATCAATTTTGCATTAATCATAATCAAACAAATTTGTATAAAATTTGCATAATCATATCAATATCCATTGAATATGAATATAATTTATATTTTCAAAATTCATATATATATTTTTAAAAATTCATTTTTTAAACTTGTACAATGACAATATTCTCCCAATGAAAATTTAAAGAGTATATAAAAGATGATCGAGTTTTAGAAATTATTTGAGAAAATTATCAGAGACCTAAAATATATCGAAAACAACAACATTATAAAATTTATAATATATACATATTATAAAAAAATATAATTACAAAACATATATATATATATAATTCATTCTTTCGCTAATTCGAGAAAAAAAAGGTTCAATTAACAAATTTATCAATAATTACGATCCAATTTGAATCGAATCAAAACTACGATTGAGAATATTTTCGAGATAAACGTATCTCGAAATTTATCCTAATATGTTTTTTTTTAATAACACAAATCTTCCTCTTCGACGTTTTTCCTTTTCGATTATTTTATTTTCCCGATGTCATAAGTTCTTCAAACATATCGAAGAAAAAACAAAATTATTCGAGTCAGTGAGTATTAGACCAACTGAAACATTCACTCCAAAATCTATCCATAGAATGATAAAGGTGTGGTAAAACGCCATACAGCGCATGTGCTTCATCCGTGTAGGTAATTTGTTCGAACAGTATATCAGATTCCTCAAGGGACTTTGCCAATGCCAATGACTGCTGATAATGAACGTTATCGTCACCAGTACCATGTATCAACATAAATTTCTTCCCTCTAATACCCTCAACTCGTCTAGATACGTCTGTTCCATCGTAACCTTTAAGATTATCTTCTGGTGTTGGAAGACCCATGAATCTTTCCGTATAAATGGAATCTGTAAATTTATTTATATTAGGTTTTATTTCGAATTATATTTCTAAGAAAAAAATATTGTTCATTTAAGAGGATTGTTTGAAAAGTTTTGAACCTACAAAGAGAAACAAATATTTTTTTTTATTATACCTTTCTTTTTTAAGTTAATACACTTGTTTGCAACAATTATCTAATAATTAATTCTATCGATAATTATGATAGTAGACTATTTGTATGTCAAACAAAATTAATAAAAGAGAATTTATTTTTAGAATTATTTGTATTACGATACAAATTATGAAAATAATTTTTTCTTATTTTTTTTTTATATAGTTTAACACAATATTTACGAAGTGAGCCTATTCGACTCATTTCAAATTTTTTTGATACAAATACATAAAACTTAAATATTATATTTTTAAAAATATATGTTGTTTTTTTAGTTACGTTATAAAATATATTTCAATATTAATTACTACCCTCTATTCAATCCTTCATTTAAACAATGTTTGTAAGTCATTAAAAAATATTGAACAAAACATCCGTAAATCTAGTGTTAATATAGTAATTACTTGCATAATTTTTTTTTTTATGTACAAATATTAGTATTTGACAGAATTAAAAAATTTTTAGCAGCCCTAGAATAAAAATATGAATTAAGAGAAGATTATGTTTGAAAGTGGTACTAGATTTGATTGAAAAAATATTTGTTATTGTTTTAAAAATCAAACTTTTCAAATGACCATTATAAATCTGCCCTAATTGAGAATTATAGATGATTCAAAATTAAAAATTATTTAAACATACGTCTGGATATATCGAATTCACAAATTAAAGATTAAAACGAATATAAACTATCTAGCGACAATTCTAATGAAAAATTTCATGAACATTATGCAGTTCAATTTCTTACAATTATTATTAATAAGATTTAATGAAAATAAAAAAATTAGTATATATAACTTGTAATCTTGTAATGCACCATTGGATGTTGTATAAACTCAGTGGCACCTATCGTATTTCAAATTTAATATTTAATATCTTTATTGAATGAAATGAACGTAAATATTGTGAACAAATAAAAACCTTTCGAAGTTACAAATAACAATGGAAAATAATAAATGATGTTTCTTTGAGACTGAATAAATATTATTTCAATAAAATAAATAGGAAAAACGGGATTATTTTAATTAAAGAATAATTTCTTATTATAATGAAAGAAACGAAAAGCAATGTAAACACAATTTTATTAAAATACTGTTACTTACCGTAATAAATCCAGGAAGATACTGGTGCTACGGATATTCCGCACTTGAAAACAGAATCCACGTCTTTAGCCAATACCATTGCGGTACAGAAGCCACCATAACTCCAACCCCAAATAGCCGTTCTTTTAGAATCGATCCAGGAATACATTTCTTGAAGTTTTCTAAAAATAAATGTGGAAATTTGAGAATTAATTTAACATCAATTATGATTAATAAATCGATTAATCATTCAAATATATCTATATTTTGATATTTTATTTACCTAGTTACAGTAATTTGATCCTCGACTTCAACGGTACCTAAATTTCTATAAATCTCGAAAAGCATGTTGCTACCCTTGTTCGATGATCCTCTACCATCGATGTAAGCGTAAATCACGCTACGATTTGTCGTCATATACGATTGGTAACTGTATGAAGCTGCGTCGTTTATTTTTGCCGTATTTGGTCCAGCATATCTTTGAACAAATAGGAAATGAAAAAATAAAACAAATAAATATAAGACAAAGAAATGTAGCAAGTGAAGCATAGATAATAGTAGAATACTGGCAAAAGGAAAATTAAAGAAATTATTTTAAATGAAGCATTGAGAGAATCTCCTTGTTTAAGAAAATCAATAATACTATCCGTCAGACTAATGATACTGAAACGAACTAAATAAGGACAACGTGAACTCTTTAGATGGGTATCCATTTGTTGCTTTTGCTCGTATTTTATCACCGTTATGTATCATCATTCTGTGTCATCGTGTGTGCGTATCCTCATTTGTTTTTTTTTTTGTAACAAGATATAGGCTCCCAGTTATTATTTGCGATTATAATGAGTTCACTTCTTTAGTGAACCCAAGTACGGTTTCATTTTTAGTTTATGTAATAATTTTGAACCATTGTATAAAAAAAAAAATATTGTTTTTTAAATTAACAGTAAGGATACTTTTGAGACTAACTGTACATACATCCACGAATTGTTTCTTTTTCTATCCTTTTGTGCCATTTCTCTCGTGAGTAAAGCTATAAATAGCATTGAACAAGGCGAACGTCTTGAAAACAAATGACCATGTGGATATTTCCCACCCTCTTTCTCCACCCCAAAGAACCTCAAATGTTATCTTATCACGTCATCCTTTGTTTTACAGCGGAAAACCGATAAGCGACCGATCTGTCTGTTACAATATCTTTGTCTCTGAAATTTTGATACGAAACGACAAAACCCTTAAGGGTCTACATTGATACGCAGCATTGATAATACCACCAGGAGGATTATACACACCATCTTTGAGATATATTTTCCTTTGAAATTTTTCTCAAAATTTGCTTCAGGATATATACTAAATATTGAATATTTAAAACATTGCAATGTTCATTTTAGATTTATATACGCAACGATACAAATCTTTCACATTGAAATTGATCAACAATCGGTGATACATATTGTACAAAAATACGCAACAGATACTTATACATTTTGTTTTTGTAACTTCGTTTTAAAACTCACATACATCACTGTAGGGGAATCGTGAAAAAAAAAGAATAGGATTATTGGAGTAACTGAACCGAAACTCGAACCACGAATCTTCTGCTTTCCGGGTAACTGCACTCTAACTTTTTAACTATCTAGAAAAACCTTTCAGTCAACTTCCTAGCGAATGTTGACTGATTTTTATTTAAAACGAATGTGAACTATACCATACAACGATGAACAAGTTTGTTTGTTCATCCACACAGAAAATATTAAACAAAATAATTAGGAAACCTCTTTTTTTTATCTTCATTCAACATTTTTGTATAGAACAATTCAATGTTTATTTGTTTACATTGATAAACAAATGATACGAGATAAATTGTTCGAAATTTTTTGATATTTTCATTTTCAATTTTTAAATGCAAGAATATCGGGAACAAATGAATTTATCTTTTGTGCATACCATATTTCTGATATTTTGTTATCAAATACTTTGTTTAAAAGACGTAAATATCTTTTCTTTCCAACAACTTTAATTTTTTAATTACTTTTGCCCAAAAGTCATATCCTTTAACTCAAAGTATTGAATATTTTTAAAGGATTTAATCGAGCAGAATATTAGATAACTAATTATTATTATTTTCTTTTGGCCTCTTTTAATCCGATCATATTTATCGTGGTACGATATTGATTGATAATATTTAATTGGGACTATTAACGTTGAGCGTTTACGAATCATGATTGGCGTTGATATGTGAAAGTTGTTTAAAAAGAGATCGTAAATAGGCTAATTGACATTCATTTTTTACGTTTTTCAATAATTTCTAACGTAAAGACAATACTTTTCTGTAAAATTTTTAAATTATCTCTTTTTTGAAATTATGTTCTAAATTTCTTAACAAAAAAATAAAAACAAAAATAAGTTTATCAATTATTATTAACTAAAACACTGTTATACTAATTGTTAGAATAACTACTAATATTCATACGATTACTATAAACATTTTAAAAACAATTAGATTGAAATATGAATAATAGTTTGTAAAATTTCGTTTGAGTGGGGGTTATGTTTGTTGTGTGCACAGCTTAAAACTTTTGTTATTTCTATAAATATTTGCAATCGAAAAACTTTGTTTGAAAAATTTCTTACCACTTTTATTCGTTTGATTGATATATTTAAAAAAAACACACACACATTTTTCATCGATTCTTTGTACGAATATTTTTCTCGATATAAACAATAATTTGTCAATATTTATAACATGGGCTGTGTTATTATGTCAGATTAACATATCAATTAAAAGTACATACCGATATTTTATTATAAATACTAAAAATTCAATTAAAATATTGACAATCTTTGATAGTAATCGATGTAATCTAACCATTTATCTAATATTTATTGATTTGGATAAAAAGCTTCATCGTATTTTTCTGATAGATGATTTTAAAATTGTATAATTTTCGTAATATTAATCAGAAGTGGGAAAATATTGGTAACGAATTAAATATTTAGCATCAAATAATTTTTAAAAACACAACTGGATACAAAAATATTAACAATTAAACAATTAATAATAATTGTTTCATTTTTGCATTAAAATATATATGCATTTGCATATATCATACTAATTGTTTTCAAATTGTACAAAATATTACCAAATTTTATTTTGTTTTTATTTCTATTTTCAATATTTCAATTCTACGCGATAAAATGCATAATTTAACGGATTTTATGAAAACCATTAACTCATTAATTGTTTGCAGAGATTTATATAAATAAAACTAATTTAATTTATCTTTAGTCAAAATTTTGATGATAATAATGATAATAATAATAGTAAAAAAAACTTTAAATCATTTCACAAAATAAACTCGTTAGAATTTGACATAAATTCCTATTAATGAACCCATAACATCAGCAATTGTTTGAGAAGCATTGCGTTAAAACTGATACTACCATTATAAATACTTACGATTTATTTCAAATATCGATAAACAATATTATAAATAATTAACTCTGATAAATATGATCTAATTATAACTAACAGTATCATAAATAAAATAATTAATAAGAATAAACGATAAATAAAAATTGAAAAAAAAAGAATAAAAATAAAACAAATATTATAACAAAAAATATTTAAAGAACAAACTTACTTTCATCATTGATAAAAACTCACGTTTAAAAAGTTCATTCCAACGATTCGAATAATATTGATCCGAGTGAAGTGATAAAAAATAATAAAAAGAAAGAAAAAATTCGATAAATTCAATCGAAGCTCACAAATTCGATTCGATACGACTCGAAGTGGATATTCTATATATAAATTTTTGAGAAAAGGTACATAGCTTTATTTTCTCACCAAAAAGATAGGAAAGGGAAAAGAAGGGGCATGATCGGGGAGTAAGGGGGAAGGGGTTGAAGTAAAGTGAAATTCGCAGTAGGTTAGGGGAACTCACGATTATGGGATTATCGTTGCTATCCTTAAAACGAGAAATGCTTTTTGCAAGATGCAGTAAGGGTTGGAAAATAGAAAAAGAGAGAAAAAAAAAGAGAAAAAGTGAGAGAGAGCGAGAGAGAGAGAGAAATACTTACACGTTGACCAACATCGGATACGATTTACTTTCATCGAAATTGTGAGGTAAAAGTAGTCTGACTTTGCTATCGTAACCGTTTGCATGAACGTATAAATCCTTGACTATGGGTAACTCTCTTTTAGTGAGTCTAAGTCGTAACATCAAATTGTGTTCCCATGAAAAGATTTTTCTATGATTTGAATCAAAAATATCAATGAATGTTGGATCCGGACCTTGACATACTAACGCGTAATACGATCTAAATGGTGAGAATGACACGTCTGCGTATTTACACTGGTTACCTGGAAAAATAGAAAAAAAAAAAAACAATCTATTAATAATGAAATCATAGTATATTTGTATTTTATATATTTTTGAAAATAAATTTGTTTCTTTTATTAGATATTTTGATAAATATCCTTTGTTTTTGTTTGATTGTTTGTACGTTTAATTGTTAAGTTATTTGATTATTATTATTTTTTTAATTTGTATCATTTTTAATTACACTGTTCGTAAATTAAAATTTTAAATATAATATATACATATATGTGTGTACACATATTTAATTTAATTAAATTTAATTGTCAAAATTATAATTCGTAACAAACATTAATTTGTATTATTCGTAACTAAATTTAAATAATTCGTAAGAAATTTAAATAAATCATTTTTCCTCCCTTTTTTTCTAGATAATTCATATCGAAAGATGGATATTTGATCATTTTTTAATTCGTATTTTTGTTTTACTTTTATTACATTTTATTTATGTATAATTTTGTATTATTTAATATAGTGTAAATTATCATTATATTATTAATAGAGTGCGAGTACATAATAACCAAATAAAAATGAAATTTTTGGAAGGATCAAATTCCTTCTTTGACGTAAAAAAGAAACAATGGTAATTTTTCCATTTCATTCTTCTAAATTCACACTCGCAATATTTTACCCTTTTTGAAAGAAATTTGACATAAAAAAAAAATTAAACTCGTTTTATACGAAAATTGTTCAACCGTATACGATAGATTAAATTTTTGTTTTGTACAAAATGAAATAATTTACTTGCAAGTATATTCGGTATATTTATAGTTTTCTTTTAAAAAAAAAAAAAACATAATTTCACTATCATTCCCTGTTATTTTCATCATTAATATTATTTAAACAATTGAGATTTCTATATTTTCCATTTGATATATCACATTTATGAAATTCCGTTAGTAGGATAGAATTCTTCTGTAAAAGATTAATATTCACATAACTAAAATGATAAAATAGTGTATATGCTCTATGTTATCGCTATTCATGCGAATTTCGTTTCGTCGTATACGGAATATGTTATGAAATATAGAACCGAGAGGGGTATACGATCGATGTAATTTCGAAAGGTAGAAATTCAACGAAATTATAATGAAAAAGCAGAATTCTACGTGTCCTATAATTCCTTACGATAAATCCATTTAAATACACGTACTCGCACATATACAGGGTGTTTCGTACATAATTTATGGTATCCACTTGAAAAAGAGTTAACAGGAGGGTATACAAAAGTTATGAAAAAAGTTCATACAAATGTGTATCCTATTCGATCATGTTACAAATTTATAGTTCACTTTTGTATTTCCAATAATTCACGAACAATTTATTTTCATAAAAAGCATGCAAAATGACCATTCTCGATTCCTATTTTTAAAACAGTGTTGTGTAACCCAATTGATATCGCACATTCTGTTAATTAAATTTTAATCATTTAGATTTAATTAGTTCAGTCTTATTAGAATTTGATTATATTCTCTTATCAGAAGTATTTTATTATTTTTTATTTGGCTGCATGTTAAAAGTAATGTGCAATTTAAGTAATTAAATATTTATTTGTGGGGATTATTTGAAAACAATTGTGCATTCGATATTCATTATTGAATAACTTCCAAACACTCATAGAAAATGATTGTCAACAGGATTCAATGGATATCTGAAATTTGTAAGATATTTCGAAATTCTATAATATAACTATTGCGAACTTCTATACAAACCGATGGTATTTAATTCGAAAACTGAAACTCTGCCACTTATAATCAAAACACAAAAATCCGTGTAACTATGAAACAAGATCAAACAGGATAAAAATATTTGTATAAATTGTTTCCATTGTTTTCGTATAAAAATTGTCCATTTTAAAGAAATAAAATCCGACATATATTATGAAACGTCTTAAACGAAATTAAATTCGAGGATTAGTGCAGTTTTAAAACGTTAGATTAAAACGACGATTTTAGTTGAACAATATTTTTTAACGTAATGAATAAAGCAAAAAGAAAAGAAAAGAACAAGAAAAATAAGAAAATAAAATGTTGCAAAAGAAATAAAAAATCTTTTATTCGTGGAATTTACCTTCCGGCGTTATAACGTTGCACGATATGCAAGTAGGTTCCTTGCTGCCATCGGCAGGTACGGAATATAAATTCCTTTGGGATGGTTCCCCAGGTCCACTAGCAAGATAGTAAATTCTACCATTGAAATGGTCTATTGCACGAATATCTTGAACCTCTATTGCACCCGGAGTTAGGTCCTTTTGAATCAGCGTTGATCCAACTTTTTCGTATCTTGTCACGTGATGAAATCTTCCAGCTTTCGTTCCTAATAAAAAGAAAAAAAAAATAATTCATTTTTTTAACGAAAGCTTTAGGAAAAAAACGTACACAAATAAAAAAGAAATACATTGTGAAATGATATTCGAGTTGAGAGGTAGATTATTCATTCACAAAGAATAGAATTTACTTTGAGATCGTATTACCAACTAGTGTAATATAAATCGTACATTGAATGATAACCTATCTCCTTTTAAAAAGATACCCTCAACCGTTTCATTTACAATTTGAGACTTTGAAATCTGAAAACTCTGAAGTATTCTTCTTGTACAGAAAAAAAAATCAAATTCGTATTATCTGTCTATGCGTAATGATAATAAAAAGGTGGTTTGAAATTTAAAAGGTTTATATTATTTTTTAACTTGTATTAATTTTAATTTGTATTATTTTTTGAAATAATATTATTTTTAAATTAAATTAGTGTTATTAGAAATTTATGAATAAACATATATCTTCATCTGATCTTCCAAAGTTAATTGTTTTATTTTTCAATTTGAATTATTCTTTAATTGGTATTATTTTGAAGTAGACTTTTTTTGTTATCAGAAATTTGTATAAATATATTTCTATATCTGATAATCCTTCAAAACTCTTTATTCTATCATTTTTTAATTATGATTATTTTTATTTTGTAATATATATTTTAATTTATACTATCATTTAATTTATATTACTTTTAATTATATTATTTTATAAGTAAAAAAAAAAAAAAATTGGAAAAATTACCAGATTGTTGTAATTTACGCATGTAAGTTGAACCATTGTAGAAAAATAAATTTTTAATATCCACCCATCCCTCAGGTTCTTCAATATGCAACGTTTCAACAGTTTCACCATAAACGTTGTACCAAACTATTTCAGTCTCATTTTGTACACGATTCGACCACGTAGCAATGATGGTATTAAAATCTTTCCATTGAACGTTGGTCAGTACGTTGTCTCTATATGTCATATATATATAAAATAAACAAAATGTAAGTTAAATATAAGTCAGTAATGTAAAATATTCCATTTACTTAAGCAAGAAAGAAACGTCACTCACATGCCAACTATATCTACGGGGGCCTCTAAATTTATCTTATTTAATGTAGGATCGTGAAGATCGACGAGCGTCAAAGATACCACAGGATTCGGTGTGCCAGCCTGAAAAATAGGAAAGACATCGATCAAAAGAGTAATATGTGTGGTTTTGTATGATTATAGTAAGGTTCTTACACTAACATTATGATCGTTTTTATTCTAACGTTTATCTTCAATAACATCATATTTTCTTGAAATTAAGATATAAATCATATGTCGAAAATAAATCTATGTAGGTATTCTTAATAGAAAAAAGAATAAAAAAGAAAATAATTTCAATTAAATGAAAGGATTCCTATAGTAGAAATTGTTTTTATCGACAATCGTAAATTATCATTACTAATCAATTTTGATCATAAAATTCATATGAAAACCTATGGCTGTATTTTCTTTTAATTTATTGTTAGATAAGTCGAACTAAATGAAAGTATCTGTAGAAAAAAAAAAAATAATGAAAAATAATAATAATAAAGAGGATACATATCGTAGGATTTAGTATCGTATCAACACTTGCAAACTATCGTTACTATTACTTTTATCGTAACATTTATCTTTTAAATTACTATATATTATTTAAATCTAAATAAATCAAAATATAAAAAAGAACATCAGAAATAAATGGATACTTTACGTACAAATTAGAATCAATTTGACAATTATAAACAATTATTACAATAGTTTTTGTCCTAATCTAAATCTTAAAACCCATAACCGAATTTTCTATAAATTTATTGTTAGATAAGTTGTAATAAATAAAAATATCTATAGAAGAAAGATAATGAAAAATAACAAATCATAAAGAGTAAACCTATCGTTGAAATTAGTATCGTAAATTATCATTACTATTATTCTTATCCTACCATTCATCTTTTAAATTACCATATTTTTGTACGTAAAAAGAAATTAAAATGTTTAAAAAAAAACATCAGAAATAAAGGGATGTTTTACCTATAATTTAGAACCTATTTGACAATCGTAAGCTATCATTACTATAATTTTGATCCTAACCTAAATCTTAAAAACCACAACCATATTTTCTGTAAATATAGATAAGTCGAAATAAATGAAAATATCTATATAAAGAAAAATAATGAAGAATAACCAATCATAAAGGGTATATCTATCGTTTAAATTAGTATCTTATAGACAATATCGAAAATCCTAAAGGAGCTCGATCGAAAAGGGAAACCGCAAAGCACTTTGGGTTTGTTCGAAACCATCTAGTTTGGTAGAGGTTAGGTTCACCTCGATAATGGGATTATCCACGGAGAACGTATCGATACACGCGTGACTAAAATGGTCTGGTCTCTCTATTTCTCTCTCTCTTTCTCTTTCTCTCTACATATATATATCTCTTTTGGTAAAGAAGAGAAGGATTAAACGAAACCAGGTACATGAGAGGAAAAGAGAGGAAAAGATATAGAGATAACCCTTTTCATTCTACAGAAAGCCGCCGAGCATGTTTCTGCCAAGACCTTTATACGCCAGTTTTAAATCGTCGCTTCTGTGATACCTTCACTAATCTACGCGAACGAAAAAACAAAGTGAAAGGATTACTCAAACTGATCCTCTTTCAACGACTAGAGAATTTTGCTTTTTTACAACATCCGCGTCCATCTTTTTCCCTTCGATGGATTTTTCATTTCATTGTTTATAACGAATTTCAAATGTTTACAGATATTTTTGTCTTCTTAAATATTATTTTGTTGCAAACGTACACATCGTACTAACTAATTCTGGATTTTGTATTTTTGTTTGACGTTAATTAACACATTGTTGATCGGAAACGTCACACGACATTTTTTGATAACAATACGTTATTGACCGGGAACGTCATATGACGTTTTTTGATAACGATACGTTAATGACCAAAAACGTTATATAACGTCCTTCGATAACCTAATCGCCGGGCACGTGCGTTAGTTCTTACAAAAAAAAAAACTCGGTCAACAATGTGTTAATAATAAAATATTAATCTTTTAGATATATGATCGATATTTTTGTTCTCTCAAATATTATTAAAAGTAATAATAATAATTATTATTATTATTAACTGGCATTAGGAACTCGAAAGTTTATTGCCGCAAATACCAAATCCCGCCATTTTTCCCATCCCTGAGCGCGATCCTTCCATTCGCGGTCTTCGTATCCTATTTCTTTCAGGTCCCTTCTAATATTATCCTCCCATCTACGTTTCGGTCTACCTAGCGGTCTTTTCCCGTTTGGTATACCGACCAATATTTTGTGCGCCGTTTGATCCTCCCCCAAGCGCGCCACGTGACCAGCCCATCTTAATCGGCGTGATTTTACGACGTTGATAATGTCCGGTTTGTTGTACAATCGATGTACTTCAACGTTATGGAGTTTTCTCTATTCGCCCGTTTCCTCATCGCGTTTTGCACCGAAGATTTTACGAAGAACTTTGTTTTCGAAAACCCTAAATTTATTTTCGTCCCGTAACGTGAGTGACCACGATTTGCTACCATAAAGAACTTACCGGCAGGATGATTGTCCTGTATATCCTGATTTTTAATCGCCTAGACAGCAACCGCAAGCTGTGTAATTTGTTAACCAAATAGAAACATAAATTGCCTAGATTGATTCTTTTCTTAGGCTCTTCGTTAATTTCGTTCGTCTGGTTTATGATCGATCCGAAATACCTAAAGTTGCTGACCTGCTCAAAAGTTTTATCCCGGACGACCAAAGTTCCAGTACTAGGCCTATTCTGAACTCTATCGGTTACCATATATTTGGTTGTTTCTGCGCTTATTTGCAGTCCCAGATCTTTAGTACTATCTATTAATATTTTTGCGTATAATAATTATTAAATATACAAAAAAGATTATAATCAAAAGTTTGAAGAGAAAAGGGCTGTATCAGTAATTTTGTTAACTTTTGTTAGTTTACAGCACACCTTCGTATTGAATAATTAATTTTACGCAGAATCTATACGACTTCAGGCAATATCTGGCTTTGAATATCTCGACAACTTTATATTTTTCGAAAAAAAATAATTAAAAATACCTTTTTTTTTTGTAGTAAACTGATTGAAAGTTTAAACCCGTGCAGTTAGATTTACAGAAAGAAAAATCGTGCATGAAGTTGACGTTAGTTAATCGAGTAACGAAGAAATAGTTTCAGTCAAATTGACTTCTAAAGCAAACTAATGTAACGTTTTAATTATTTTAAGAGTAGAATTTCTGATAACTTACGAAACGTTTAAGTAGAAAAGAAAAAAATATGATACACTGGCATGCAAAATTTCTAACAAACTTTATAATTAAAGAATGAAAAGTAAGAAAAGATGATAAAAATGGACAAGTATGTGAAGAATAACTGTCAGTTAGTTAGTATTTTGGTCGACAATGATTTGAGTGAATTGAATAATGTCGAACGATAACGCAAATCGAGCTTCACCTTGGGGTACTTAATCTTCACTTCCGTGGGATATTGGTCGCCGAGGCTGCCGGGTTCTCCGTAATGAAGATACAAGATTTCATGGACTTTTCTGTCGTCGAATGTTGCATATGCTAACCTTTTACCATCTGGAGAAAACCAAATGGCAGATGATCCATGTAACACTTCCTCTGTAACAATAATTTATTATTTATAATTATTATTAGTGAATCAAGAATATATAAATATATTTATACATAATCATTATAATATTTGTTATATATATAATCAATATAATATTGTTA